GGGGGGGCATACTGGAGAGGAGAAAAACAAACCTCCCCAAAAAAGCGAATCAGAATACAAAAAAATACACGAATGAAATACGTCCCTACTGTGATATGGCACGGTTTTCCTCTGGGATAGAGACAATAGCGCGGCTGATCCAGCGCAAGGTGACACAAGATAGATGGGCTGATTATGTCCCCGAGTGGTGATGGTCAGATCAGATCTGTAACGGAGGACCACGAGTGGGCTGACCACATAGACAGCCTGCGCCACCACACCTTTCGTCGGCCAGCTGTTCAGATGTGCTTAGCCACATTAAAAAAAAATTTGTTTTACTATTTTGTAAGAGTTTTACGGTACCTGCAACACAATAAGGTCATATAAGTGCCGAAGATTAGAGATGTAACAAAAAAGTAACAAACACAAACAGGAGGAAAGATACGGACGATATAATATGTTTGATAGGAGTGAAGGAGCAAACTACACCAGAGCATCCGCCAACCACTCACTGAATCGGAGTGAACAATACATAATACGAACAGTGTGTGGATGGATCTCCCCACTCGAAAGAAAAGGTTCTGCTTTGCAGAGAGAAAATACAATGGCGATAATGGTAGACCGCAGCTTAATGTTTTGAGTTGGAGTAAAGAGAAGCACAACGAATCGACACAATTACGGTAATTTAGCGTTAGGAAAACGTACGGCAGATGGACAGAAACAACAGAGGGAAAGCAAAAAAGTAGGGCCTTCCAGTATCGCCCTCCAACTACCCACGCCGAAGCTTGGACCAGAAAGAGTTAACAGTTCTGAACAAGTAGCCTATGTGGTCACCCCACACTTGAGCAAAGCACGCTGGCGTCCACTAGATAGAGGCAGTTACTTAATGCTGCCCACGGCCTACTTTCGACATAGCTGTGTCTTGAAAGATATAAATTCTATTATTTGCTTTGCTTGTCGTTTTTGTTGGGTATTTTAATTATATTTTTAGACTCAAGAGAAGCACATCGACACAATACCTGTCATTACGGGCAGAGAAAACATAAGTCAGACATACATCAGAGGAAAAATAAAGAAGTAGGACCTACTAGTGGCACCCCCCAACCATCCACACACTAACTTCAGATACGTTGTATATAGTTCCCACAACAATATTATTTCCCCTTGCGTGTCAAATTCTAAAACAGACAAAGGTGGCCATCATTGGCTACTGAATGTTACACACTACAGTGAAGAGGGGATCTTACGGCAACATGCTTCCTGGGGCAGTTAAGTGAGAGTTAAAAGTCATAAACACATGGACATTATAACCTACATTCGGGATGAGGATAAAAACAATGAAATCGACGTACGATTTACCAATGATGAATGACAAAGAGAAAAAATCTACGGGTGATGAATATGCCCACAAAAACACCCCTATCGTGGCCTACGGCAATGTAAACGCTTAAAGCTGCTGATATGCCCACAGAATCCCAAAAGGGGACAGGTCAGCCTAGCGTCCACAGATCACAGGGGAGAGGGACGGGCCCACGAGCGAGATAATCTCCACCCTTGGTCTGCGTATCAGGTGAACGTATCGCCACTAATGGGTCACTATAATAGATAGAAAAAAGAGACGCGGGGACAGAGGAGGGGTGGGGAGAGAGAGGGAGAGAGGGAGGGGGGAGAGGGAGAGGGAGAGAGAGAGAGAGAGAGAGAGAGAGAGAGAGAGAGAGAGAAAGATAATAAAATAGGG